ACAAACTCTCCGAAAATGCATCTGAAATAAAAAAAGAAATTGACCCAAGCCATTATGCTCAATTAATATTTGACAAAGGAGGCAAGTGCATACAATGGAGTCAAGACAGTCCCTTCAAAAAATGGTATTGCAAAAATTGTACAGGTACATGCAAAAAAAATGAATGTAGACCACCAACTTACACCATACACAAAAATAAACTCAAAATCGATAAAGGACTTAAATGTAAGGTGGGAAACCATAAAAATCTTAGAAGAATCCATAGGCAGCAACATATCAGACATTTGTTGTAGCAATATTTTTACTGATACAGCTCCTAGAACAGTTGAAACCAAGGAGAAAATAAACAAGTGGGACTACATCAAAATAAAAAGTTTCTGCACAGCAAAAGGAACCATCAACCAAACAACAAGAAAGCTCACTGCATGGGAGAAAATATTTTTCCAATCTTATATTTGATAAGGGTCTAATCTTCCAAATTCATAGGGAAGTTATACATCTTAACAAAAAGAAGATAAACAATTCACTCAAAAAATGGGGAAAGGACTTAAATAGACACTTTTTGAAAGTGGACATACAGAAGGCCAAGAGGCATATCAAAACATGCTCAAAGTCACTAATCATTTGAGAGATGTTAAATCAAAACGACAATGAGGTAAAATCTCACATCTGTCAAAAGGGCAATCATCAGCAAATCAACAAACAACAAGTGCTGGTGAGGATGTGGAGAAAAAGGAACCCTCATACACTGCTGGTGGGAATGCAGACTGGTGAAGCCACTGTGGAAGACAGTATGGAGTTTCCTCAAAAAATTAAAAATGGAACTCCCATTTGACCTAGTGATCCCACTTCTAGGAATAGAAATCAGAAACACCAATCAGAAAGCACATATGCACCTCTATGTTGATAGTGGTCAGAGATTAAAGGGTTTATATGCATACATTTAAGCATAACCAAGGTGCCTCGTTAGTGCAGTAGGTAGCGCGTGAGTCTCATAAGCATAACCAATGGACACAGACACTAGGGAGGGTGAGGGCTTGTGCAGCGGGGTGGGAGTGGCCGAGGAAAGGTCAATAGAGGGAAAAGGAGACATATGTAATACTTTAAACAATAGAGAGTTTTAAAATAAATAAAAGTAACAGAAAAAAAAGAATTTGAAGAAAAATACCTATGCCTGTCTCCCTAGAAAAATCTATATACACAATCACCCTAAATAAGCAGATAATTCAAAGGTCCATAGAGGCCCTGAAAACCCACATGGCCCTCTTGAATACAGCCCCTATTATAAAAATGCATCTCTACCATCATCCTTTGGCACTCTGGGCAGAAGATATCTACCATTAACAAGATACTTACTAGGAGATTGGTGAATGGAAACTGTCTTCTCAGAGATTTGTAGGTTATCTCTGAACATAGCTTAAAAAACCTCTTTCCCGGAATATGAACTCATGATACCATTCCATGTTTATTCAATTAATTGCATGCCACTAACTTTGAACGTGTATGAGATAGTTATTTATACCTTACAATATAAGCTTGTGATTCCCTCTAATTTGTAACACATAGGTATAACAGACTAGTTTTTAAGTGAGGACAATTTAAATTAATAAAATATATACATCTATATGTGTGTATGTTAAGCCTGGTTTCTCTTTAAGAAATCAGTACAGTAATAAGACATGATATATATACATATGCTAATATTGATAATAAGTCAACTATCTTCTAGATGGATCTGTTTATACATTTAAATAGCACTTATTGTTGTATTAATTACTGCTGACAAAATGTGTTATAAAAGTCATCAAGAAAGCAGTATTCTTTTAAGGAAATTAAGTATTCCATTAGCAAGTGTGTTCAAGTTCTAAATTTGGGTAGTAAACTCTTAAAGAAGGGACACCAAGGTATATTTATGCTGCTCATGGATTAGAGGGTCAAAACTGATAAAGTTGAAAATTTAAAAACAAAAAAATAATGAAATAATGATGTTCTGTCATGGTGAATGTTTCTGGAATGGGACCTTCCAGAATGGATGAGTGCTACCTGACTCCTGGACTAATTGCTGTGTACAGCTTGGTAGGTGATGTAGGCTTTTCTTAGCCACATTGACCAAGAAGCAGTACTCAGGGATCATTCACAGGTTCTAACTGTCCAGTGCTTAGGCATGGTCACTGAGCAACTGCCGGGGTCCAACCCCAGCAGGTCCAGGGGTCCCCAAAGGTGTGGACGGAGTCAGCGAAGAAGGAATGACACGGAGACAGCGTTCAGTTAATCAGCAGCCTAGCCAGGATCTCCAGCCAAGTTCTGGTCTGGATCTCCAGAGAAGTTCTGCCGTTTATTGTCTTGTTACATCGGTATTTATACCAGTTGATTTTAATCCTGTCAATTTCTATTACAAAGGTTAGGGCGTTTCTTATCTCCATTCCAGGGAGTAAAGATTATGTAGCTTAAGCATGATTGTTTGTAGTGATTAACTACCCGCCTGGCACTTAGTTAAGGAGTTTCATCCCCTCCCTGACTTCAGGGAAAAATTCCTACCTGGGGAAACAACCTTTCTCGGAGAGGTGACCTTGGTTAAAACACACAGCTCTAAGGGGAGCAAACATATTAAGAACAGTATGCTATATACGCCAGGTCCCTTGAAACATGTGCTGTGCAGATGTTTCTTTCCTGCAGCGACTGTGTCAAGCAGCAAGGATGGACCGGCTTCCGGCAAGCAACCAACAACATACCCATTTTAAATAGTATCTTTTGAGTTTTATTTTCATATCATATCATATAGTAACATCAACATATTTTTTTTTGATTTTCCTTTTCATTTTATGTTTTTAAATTACATATATTGAGGTTACATTGGTTAATATTTTATTATTTTTTATTTTTTTTAATTTTATTGTTTATTACAAAGGCTCCCCGGCCTTCCCGATGCAGTTTGACACTCTGTTTGAGGCAGCTCTGCCTCTGTATCTATTATTGTTCAAAAGTTTATAATGGTCTCAATTATCCATGAATAAGTGAGATCATGTGGTATTTTTCGCATGGATGGAACTGGAGAGCATTATGCTAAGTGAAATAAGCCAGTCAATGAAAGAAAAATATCAACATATTTTTTATCCAAAAATGATGTTTTTTGAAAAAAATAGTGAGAAGAATGTTATTGTTTTCTATCTTTGCAAATCTCTTTAATGGCTGATTTGATGGATAACACTTGGATTCTCATACTCACTTTTGCATACAGTCTGTGATATGTTGTTTGAGTTGAAGTACATGAGAAAATCTAATGACTCAGATATGTAGTTGAGAAGGAGATGACCTTGTAACTCCCATGAAAGGGACTCTGGGACTCAAGGGATCCTTGGGTCACACTTTGAGAACCACTGTCCTATAAAGTAGTTTGGAAGAACATATGAGTGGTGAGATTATTAGTGATCCTACTTGTTTCCTTTTTCACTTATATATTCCACAACAGAGGTGGATTACTTGTTCAAATTATAAATGAGAAAGGAAGAAGCATGAGTACGTTGAGGAAAGATTTTGGAGGCCCTAGAGACCGAGGCAGAAAAGTTTATATTTTGGAAACCAAAAAGCAACTGTAATTTCTTAAGCAGGCAAATGACCTATTAAAATTGTATTTAGCCCTGGCTGGGTGGCTCAGTTGTTGGAGCATTGTCCTGTACAACAAAAGATTGCGAGTTATATTCCAGGTCAGGTTCAATCCCTGGTCCGGGCACATACGGGAGGCAGCCGCTCCATGTTTTTTTCTTTCTCACATTGGTGTGTGCGTGTGTGTTTCCCTCTCCCTTCCTCTCTCTAAAAATTAATAAACATATCCTCAGTGAGGATTAAAAATTGTATTTGGGAAAAAATGGCTGGAATTAGAAGAGAAAAGCTACTTTATAACTTGTCTCAGTAATATAGGTGAGTAGTGAGGTGGGCTATGCCTCAGATATTGGTGTAAATGAAGAGAAATTTTCAAAATTTGCAAAAACAGATCCAGAGACAGAGAAGCATCTATCAGACCGTCAAACTCAGAGGGAAAGCAGGGAATGATGCAGGGGAGGGGGAGAGATCAACCAAAGGACTTCTATGCATGCATATAAGCATAAGCAATGGACACAGACACTAGGGGGCTGAGGGCATGAGCAAGGGGGGGGCAATAGAGGGATAAGGACACATATGTAATACCTTAATAAAGAAAAAAATAATAAATAGAATACTAAATGGAAAAAAAGAGTTAATAAAATGTACATTGCCACAAAATCAATTTTTCATAGAAATTTTGAATGCAGAAATACCAAAACTTGAATATCTATATATATATAAAACCCTAATATGCAAATAGAATGGTGGAACAACCAAACAACGGAACAACCGAACAACTGGTTGCTATGACTACCAGGGGACGTGTGCGGAAATGGCATGCATCGGCAACAGGTGGCAGAGCGCAGAACATGGTGGGCATCAACCTTGGCAGGATGGTGGAGCAGGTGAGCGGGGGCGCCAGACCAAGATGGGGCGCCAGTCGCTGTCATCAGGGCGAGCCTCTAGTGGTTACTGAAAATTCTTTGCTCCCATGCGCCGAGGTCCTGATGGGTGCTCGCACCTGCTGCCGGTGCTGGAGCTACCACTCACACCCACTGCCAGTGCCAAAGCCGCTGTTCACACCCACTGTCGGCAATGGCCCCACTCACACCCATTGCTGGTGCCAGAGCTGCTTCTTGCACCTACTGCTGCCACCCGGCACAGGCTCTGGGGAAGGAAGACCCTGGCCAGCAGCTGGAAGGCCCTGATCGGCCCTGATTGCCGGCCAGGCCTAGGGACCCTACCCATGTGCAAATTTCGTGTCACAGGCCTCTAGTAGGGAATAAAGGAGAGGAGAGAGTTAAGGTGACTGAGTTTTCAAGTCTAAAACATTTGGAAAATTTCTCCCTTATGTTGAACTTTAACCTTTTCTGAAAATTATTATTAAGTTAACTGAAGTCTTATCTTATTTTTCAGAGTTTGCCAGTCCATTCTAGGGCTCAGGAAAATGTCAACATGCTTCCCAACCTGCATTTGTCACAATGACTACCAGAAGAAAAGGAAGATCTATGACATCCCCAGAGAGTTACTTGCTGCTTACTTCCCTTAAGCCCTGCAGGCACTGAAGGGCTCTGTCCAGTTCCTATTTGCACCGGACACCTGCAGTCAACCTCTTATGCACTCCAGCACCCCCATCAGCTCTCTCTTCTCCTTCACCAGTCCAGCAGTGAAGAGACTGCTAGGCTGGAAGCAAGGAGATGAAGAGGAAAAGTGGGCAGAGAAGGCAGTAGACTCTTTAGTGAAGAAGCTAAAGAAGAAGAAAGGAGCCATGGATGAGCTGGAGAGGGCTCTCAGCTGTCCAGGGCAGCCCAGCAAATGTGTTACGATTCCTCGATCCTTGGACGGGCGGCTGCAGGTGTCCCACCGCAAGGGTTTGCCTCACGTTATTTATTGCCGAGTGTGGCGTTGGCCTGATCTGCAATCTCACCATGAGCTGAAGCCCCTGGAATGCTGTGAGTTCCCATTTGGCTCCAAGCAGAAAGAGGTGTGCATTAACCCCTATCACTACTGCCGTGTGGAGACATCAGGTCAGTTTTCTTCATGATATCATGGTGTATTTTAAAAGTTAAAGAGGTGTGTCCCAGTTGATGGAGAGTTATGGGGCATAAGCAATACAAGAACCACCCCAATCACCAAAAAAGGAGGTGGGGGAGGTTCAATTTTGAGGAACTAATCCACAGTTTTGTAGTTACAAAAATCTAGAATTTTCATTTCAGCATATATGTCAACTCTGTGATTTTGAAAATGCAGTTTTATATGTTTTGGAGTCATCATCATCATGTTCCTCTCTCTATATTTCTTCTTCTTCTTGAAGCAGTTCCTTTAACATTATTTGCAATACTGTTCAATACTGATTTGGTGATAATGAGCTCCTTTAGCCTTTTTGTTGTTGTTGTTTTTTGTTTTGTTTTGTTTTGGTCTGGAAAGTTCTTTAATTTTTCCTTCAATTTTAAATGATAGGATTGCTGAATAGAGTGGTCTTGGTTTCACGTCCTTGTTTTTCATGACTTCATCCAGTTCTTTCTGGCTGAAGTATTTCTCTTGAGAAATCAGCTGTCAGCCTTTTGGACTCTCTTGTAAGTAACTAACTGTGCCTCTCTTGCTGCTTTTAAGATTCTCTCTTTGTAACCTTTGCCATTTTAATTATGATGTGTCTTGGCATGGGCCTCTTTGGGTTCATCTTGTTTTTCCTTCAGCAGTTTTCTGACATTATTTCTTCAACCGGTTTCTCTATTCCTTCCTTGCTCACTTTTTGATACTACTATGATTCAGATGTTGTTATGGTTCACATTGTCCCAAAGTTCCCTTAAAAAAACAAGCAATCAGAGCAGCTAAAAGAAAATGCACATTTATTTATTTATTTATTTATTTATTTATTTATTTATTTATTTTGAGGGCAAGGACTCTGTCTTTTTTTATTATTATTATTTCTTAAAGTATTACAAAGAGTATTACAAATGTCTCTTTTTTTCTCCCCCTTGACATTTCTTCCCCTACCCCCCAGGGTCTTGTGTCCATTAGTTATTCTCATATGAATGCACATAAGTCTTTCGGCTGATCTCCTACCCTCCCCAACCCTCCCCAAGGTTCCCACTGTAGTTTGACATTCTGCTCAATGCTGCTCTGCCTCTGTATCCGATTCAACCTCACCGGGGCCATTTCGAGTTTGGATTTCGTTTTCTACCAAGTGCACAGACTGCCTGTCTGCTGTCACTCAGCATCCCATGTGATACTGGATCTGGTGGGCCTGCCTGTGCATATGCTGGTACAGCGGTTCCACGTCGCCAGCCCAGCCATGTCCAGCTCCAGCTTCCTCTGAACCTGATTCTGCTTCTTTATTGTGTCCCTTATGTATGCGAGGAGTTGAAATCTGCATTCTGCTGGGCTGGGCTGCAAAAGCGTTGGTGGTTCTCTTTGTGTCACTAGCACAGCTTGGTTGAGGATGTAATTTTAGTAGGGCGGGGTCCTCGGGAAACACCAGGGTGGGGCCAAGGGCAATGGTGTCACTGCTTCTACTTGCCTCTCCGCAACTCAGCAACTTGCGCCTGAGTGCCAGCGAGCAGTTCCACGAGACAGCCACTCTCGCTCTACAGGTCATTTCAAGGCCATCCGACTTCTCCCCATAGGGGTCTGGGAGCTTAGTATCCCACCCTAACCACGCTCAGTAGATTTGATAGTCCGTCTCTCCTTCCGGTTGAAAAAAAACGAGCATCCAGTTGCAGCCACCTGGTGCGCGATTCCATACCTCCGTTCTTAGAGCCTCTGCACAACCTACTCAGTCTCAATGCTCTTCTTTCTTTCCTTCCAGTTGTAGAGCTTCCCCTGGGCCAGCTTTCCCATGGTTCTGAATGACAGCTGTTTCTTTTATAGTTGGTAGTCTTGATGTTGTTGTGGGAGACAGCACACACAGGTCTGTACCTTACGCCGCCATCTTGGTTCTCTCAATGCACATTCTTTTAAATTCATTTTCTTTTAGATGCTGTGATTGCTTGTTTTTTTTCTACATTATCTTCCAAATCACTGATTCAATTCTTTGCTTCATTCAACCTACTCTTTTATTGTTGTTGTTGTTAATCCTCACCTGAGGATACGTTTTCCATTGCTTTTTAGAAGGAGTGGAAGGGAGGGAGGGAAGGAGAGAGAGTGAGAGAGAAACATCGATGTGAGAGAGACAATTGATTGGCTGCCTCCTGCACTCTCCCTGACTGGAAATGGGAAGCAAACACATAACCCAGGTAGTGCCCTGAACTGGGAATCATACCCTCAACCCTTTGGTGCACAGTCCAATTCCCTAATCACTGAGCAACACAGGCCATGGCCAACCTATTTTTTATTTTATTCCTTCTAGTGTATTCTTTTTTTAATATATATTTTTTTATTGATTAAGATATTACATATGTGTCTTTATCAC